CAAGAATTAATCAAGTCTTGAAGGAGTTATTGCGGATAGCGATGGCTGTTGGCAGAAAATGAAAACTAGGACTACTGAACATTATATAACCTCTGTTTTTAGGTCAATTAAATTAGATAGTTGTATAGTTTTGGAAGAAAAAACGTCTTTCTTGATCAAACAGACAAGTTGCCAAGACCGACCTCAAAACAAAAAGCTTTTATTCTGAAATAAAAGTGCCAGAAAAGGCAGGTATGTCACATCGTGCCATCGTACTCGCGGCTGTTTTAAGTGTGCATGTACACCGGGACATAGACAGCTTCCTTCAACATGACAGCAGCTTTAGTTCATGTTTGTTCCTCTGCATGTTGTAACATGTTGTAACTGTAACTTGTCTTTCTTTGCTGTGAAAAGGTTTGCAAAAGCTTAAAACTGCTGAATGACCGTGACTCTTCACTTCCTTGGTCATGCTCGGCGTAAACCTCAGCGCAAACATTTTTGAGGCCTTCTGCACAAAGTGCATGATGGTAGAGCAGTAGTGTTTTGTATTTCTTGGTGCCCGGACATGAGCGCGTCGCTGGCTTTGCAGAGTTGAGGCTGTAAAATTAAAGATGTCATCTAAAACGAAGACATTTAAATAACAACTTTAACTTCAGCCTTGTACTGACTTATTGACAAACTACACTTATTACTGTAACGTTTTCTCAATAAAGTCAACTAAAGAAAAGGTTATTGTGTTTTTATGATTATTCATCTAAATGTAAAAAGTAAAAATGAGTGTCCTTTGAAAATACCACTTTTTCTAAGTCTATCTGATGAGAATGGCTTTCTTTGAGTTTGTGGTGGCTGTCAGGAAGTACAACAATCCTCTGTGATGTGCATGTGAGGCATGGGGGGGTTTTTCTCGTCCTCTTGCTTGTTCTCTGCCTCTTTCTGTCCTGTCTGTCGGTGAATGTCTCTGTTCGCTTCATTCCTTCATGCTTTGTGAAAATGTGGGATGATTTCCCTCATACATTTTGTTTCGATTGTTTTCGGATTCCAGGCATGAGTAACGAGCAAGTGTTGCGGTAAAAGAGTTAGAGGAGATTTATCATTTGAAACGAGTCGTTAGGTAGAAGCTGAGGAGTAATAAATCCAGTTCTAGGTAACCAACGCACACCGAAATTGCAGCAACACAATTATAATACAGATAGACGTCTAACACGTTCGTCACGAACAAGTCCTCACTTTCGCAACTGAGAATAAACTCCAGCTTTCAAGAGGAAATAACTTGCTTACCTCTCCCCTCTCCTTTGTGTGTCTCTTGCTCCCGTCATCGTCACAAATCTCCCGCCCTCATCTTCCTTTGTCTCTCAAGACCATCACCGACAACAGCCCAATGCGTCGCTCTACCTCCAGTCTGGTCCACGGGCGTTCAGGTCGCGGCGTGAGGCTGGACGACTACTCTCTGGAGAGGGTGGTGTCCGAGGAGGGGAGACACAGCGGCGGGCGCAGGCACAGGGACCGAAGTCATCGCACTTCGCAGCGATCGCTGACCAGATACACAGACGCCGACACAGGTGACTCGGTTGACCGCTCCTATTTTTAATTGAAGGATTAGCCGACGTTAAATGAGTCATACTGTGTCTGTTTTTTTCTTGTTTTTTTCAGCTGTAGAAAATGGGACATTAATCTTTTTGCAAAGCCTTTCAAAGTGAAAAATGACAAGGCAGCAAAACTCTGAACATGTTGAATATCAACTATTATCCTTAAGTAGTAAATGTGCAACTGCAGGATTTGCTATGATAAATCATTTCAGTTACAAAATTCCTGCAGGAGAACCGAAACACTTCCAACATTTCCACATCTTGTCTCAACACAATCACCAACTTCCATGTATTTCACAGGGACTGGCATGAACTAGTATATAATTTTAATCATTTGTGAAAGAAAAATTACACGATTCAAATTTTTTCACATTGAAGTGCACCGATAAATTGGACTGGATTTCCTTAATTTTGGGAGATTGGGAATCGGACGAAACTTTCAAGAAAAACAGACCTTATTTAACTCCAGAAATGTCTGAGAATTAGACAAAATATAACATTGTGGTTGTTAGATTTAGCATTTTTATGACTTTGTTTAAATATTTAGCAAATTTTTAGTGACTTTGATGCTATTTTTAGCAGCAAAATAATTTGTGTCCGTCAAACCCAGAATCAGCAGGTCAGACTTTGCACAGTGGCCCTCTAACAAAACCGTGTGGTTTGCCTTTATATTCAGTTTCTTGACTCAGATACCAAAAACATAGAAGACCAAGGAACACAGCAAGGAAAAGGTTGTGGGCAATATTTAAACAAAGACCACATCAGTATTTATATGAGGTCATTAGGTCCTGCGAAATTAATTTACATGGCTGAAATGTTTTATTCTTATAGTTGTAGAACTGGTGAATAATAATCCTCTAATAAGCTTGGTGGACATCCTGGGAGATTATAAAAGCTGGAACAGTTTTCTTTGAAATCCACTCGACTTCCTATTCCTCATGGATTTTTTTTTCCAGTGTTACTTTTATGTGTTTGTGCTTTAAAGTCTATCATCTTCCTTCTGTGAAACAGAAACCATGATCTTCTGTAAGCGCATCAAGAATCTTTCTTCTGTGACTGGTGCCTGAACTGAAAGCTTTTGTAACCTTCATGTCTGACTTTGACAGGTATCCTATCTATTTCATGTCTAGGTCTGGGTACAGACCTCAGCACCACCACACAGTCAGGCGACCTGCCTCCCAAGGAGCGTGAGCGGGACCGCGGGCGCACCAAGGACCGGCGTCATCACCACCACCATCACCGCCATCACAGCTCGATGGACAAGGAGCGCTATGATCGCCATGACTACCCACATAGGCAACCCCAGGACCGCCACTGGTCCCGGTCCCCCAGCGAAGGGCCAGACGGGAGAGGTCACAGACAGGTGAGCTCTAAGGTCACCAAGATTTAGCAGAAGTTTACCAAAAACAGTCCCAAATAGTTTGTCTGCTAAATTCCCACTCTTGTGAAATATCTTGTTTGTTTGTTTTTTTAATTGACAGAGTTCAATTTAATATACATTATGCTTTCTATTGTCCTCATTATTTTACCAAACCTCGTCTTATGGTAGGTGTTTGTTAGCTCTTTTGTTTTTCTCACCTGGTGAACCTGTAGACTCAGACACAAAGCATTTGTTACGTTTCCTGGTTGTGTTGTTTGCTTTGACAAACCAAACCCTTTGAGCAACCTGTTTACCTCCTGTTTACCGTGATGACGCTGCACCGAGAACCGCTGAAGGACACAACCTCTGAAGAAGACACTTTCTCCTTCACAAAATAGAAACAAAAATTGAGTGGCAAGACATTTTAGCAGTTGGAGGATTTCTCGTTTGTTTTTGGGAAATGTCCACCAGCTATTTCTCCTGCTAGCGTTAGACACGTGCGTTCCTTCATGTTGTATTTACCCAGAATGCCTTGCACAATAGTCCCATCCTACTTTTGGAGTTGTATCTAGTCCACTTGATACAACTCCAATCCATATATGCATTCATACCGCACTGGAGTTAAACCGAACCGAGACATTTAGGCAGACCAGAGTTAGCTATTTTTGTTCACACCTTCCCAAATGAACTAGAGTTTGATTAAAGCGGACTAAACAGGGCTGGTGTGAAGTTGAATAAAATACTAAGACTTTAGGAATGTAACACTACGTCCAGGTTGTACACCCATTTGTGATTGACTCTAGCTACATTTTGTAGCTGTGTTACGAACTGTTCTCTGACCGCTTCCCTCAGATTCTTAAATTCCTGCCCCTAAATCTATGACTCCCAGTTGTCCCATAATCCACGTTCAAAAGTGTCTTGCAACACAAAGGCTGTTTTGGTTGGACAGGAGAAATCAGTCCTCAGAACTTACCCATGTTTTCTCTGTAGATGATCATCAGTGTAAGAATCATTTCCATGACCTTACTTATGGATTTCATTTCATGTGTTTTTATGTTTTTTAAATTCTTAACCCTAACCCCTCTTTTCTGCAATCTCATGTTGTTTATTGCCTCCAATTTCATTGATGTTTTATCAAATTTTCTGTCTATCTTAGTCTAGTCCAATCTATCTCTTTTTATCTCTTTGTGTCCATTGCTGTGTTCTGTCGCTGTGCTGTGTTTTGATTTTCCTTGTTCACATTTTGCTGTAGGGGAGTAGTTCGGTCAGTGGCAGCCCGGTCCCCTCCACCTCGGGGACCAGCACTCCACGGAGAGGCCGCCGCCAGCTGCCACAGACTCCTGCTGTCCCACGCCCGCATGTCACCTACTCCCCCGCCGTCCGAAAGCCCCTGTACGGCCCCCCGGGCCCGGGTCGTTTGCGCTCCCCCTCCCCTCGACACTTCTCTCCGCCGGACCACGACCGGGGCTACCACCACCGGCCCCCGTCACGTCACGCCTCCCCCCACCACGGCGGCTCCTCGTCCAGGCACGGCTCGCCGCGCTCGCCTCGGCACCAGTCGCCACACTCGCCGCTCCACGGATCGCCTCGGTCTCCGCACCGGAACCGCTGGAGCGGCCCCCCGCCGGGGGACAGCCTGGAGGGTGACGGGCCCTTCTACGAGAGGGATTACGAATATGAGCGGCATCATGAGCCTCCCGCCTACGAGCAGAGCCTCTCCCATGGCAACCCTCATCCGCATGGTGGAAACCCTCACCCGCACCCACGCTCACCAAGGACTGCTCGTCACGGGCCCCCGCCGCCCCCTCACCCGCATCCACGTAGGGTTCCTAATGGTTACCGTTCATCCTCACCTTCCCCGCATAGGAGGGGACCGCCAGGGGCACCGCACCCTCACCACAGGCCTCCCCATGCCAGAGGGCCCCGCAAGGGCCTACATGAACCTTACAGTGAGACGGACGAGGATGACTGGTGCTAGCGACGGCATGAGATGCAGACAGCAGAAGATGATAAGAACCCATCACCTCCAGTGCTCTGGCACATTTGTAAACTTTGAACTATGTGATGGTAAAGTTTTGGAGAGCCCCTCTGCTCCCCCTTCAGACTCAAAAAAAAACAATGCACGGGTGGAGGTAGAGGGGCAGTGGTGCTGCTAGGAGCCTTTTACACATTTTGCAGAAAAATCTAATCTTTGACAAAGCAGCACGTGGTTATGCTAATCTCGAGAAAGTCCGGAGAACTTAGTAGGCAATGCAGGGCACAGGTTAACCTCTGGCTCTCAGAACTACAGTTCCCAAGACCAGCCGACACCATCGAGGTCTCGGCTGAAAGGGAAAAGAGAGTCGAGGGAACAGAGATCCAAGGAGGAGCATGGGGTTCTAAAGCAATGTGACGGGATGGTTTCAAGGCCTAACAGGCACTTTGCTCCGACTGGCACCTGACTGCTTAGGTGTGTGCAAGCTCTCACTGGCCGGACTACTTCAGAAAACAGAAAATAAACTGAAGTGAGGAGTACACCGCTTAGACTCTGCTCTAAAACAGACACGTTTAGAGAGAAAAAAAATGATGTAATAAAAAGCCAGGATCCCCCTCACTAACCCTTACATGCCAAGCTATGCCTCCAGATAATGAAACTTGAACAATGAAGAAGACAGAGAAACTTTACATGACAGTGACAATTAAAAAAATAAAATGAAATAAATAAATAAAGGGAGTACTTTTCCTTAATCTTTATGATCTCTCTCTGTGTCCAAGGGGACAGAACCTAGGAAGCTCCGCCTATACTGCAAAACCCAGCCAATCACAGCGCTGGCTGATGATATTCGATGAGTTTTATCATCTCTGTTTACTGTTACGGACTCACTTGATGGGGGATGGAACTGCTGCGACATCACTTCCTGTCCAGATGGCGGCGGATGCAAAGTGGTGACGCCCAACGTTGGCTTCACTTCCTGGAAAAGACGCACCGGGAGGACGGGCCCAGGTTACTGGAGAAGGGGACTGGTCACTCTGTCAATCCTTTCCCTTATCTATTGATCAACCCAGCATACAGAGAAACGGGGACCTGACAGGAAATGACATCACAGATGTTGGCAGGTGGCAAGAAGACAAGAAAGAGGGGATGGGGGAAAAAAAAGAAAAACCAGACTAATTTCTTCAGTATTTCTTCTGTCGATTACTACTTCTTGTTCTTCTTCGGACATTCGGAGCTTGGTTCTTCTGTTGCATTCGCTCAGCCTCCTTTGATCTTTTTCAGAGTTCAAAAATCGATGGAAACCTGCATGATTGATATAATCCATACTAGAGAGGAAATCTAAGCGGTGCGGGTGGGAGTGGGACCAGGGGGGCTTTATAGGAAACTTTAACTTTTAGGTTCACAATAGAAGTTGTCTTTTCAGACTCTCTCTCTCACTTTTTTTGTCTGATTCAAAAGTCGAGTCATTTTTTTAAAGATTCGTTTTTTGTTTGTTTTTTGTTTTCGTTTTACCTGACAGATTTTAACAAACAGGTTTTCCACTTGTCTCAGTTTTCTGTTGAAAACTCAGCTTCAGCAACCAGGCAAAGAGACGAGCAAAAGAAAGCAAAACGTTTACAGGGTCGTGCAGGTGTCCTGTCTTTGGAGAAACACACTTTTAAGAGAGAGAGAGAGCGGACAAAAGGGAACTTCTACCACATTTAAGTTGCTATTGTTGATGATAACAGAACTTAATAATGATTTCATTTCATTAATGTCAATGCAAATGAGTGACAATGATGATACTGGTGACGATTGACTGAATGTTAGAACCGTTGATGTAGACTTGCTGTCATGTTGATTGGAGTTCAGATATGCCGTGTTCATCTATTTTTTTTTTCCATCCCTTATGTTGGTATCCCGTGCTTAGTGATGTCTACAAGGTTCCCAATAACCTTCGTGCAATATTTTATTATTTTTTTGGGGAAATGATGGTTTTACGAGTTGCGTGTTGTAACACAGCTCTAAGCGAAGATGCATTCTCTCTCCAGGATAGTGGAGGGCAGAGGTCAGGGGAGCCTCAGTACCTGTCCTGCAGCGACCCGTAGGGTCTCATCAAGCCAACCCAAAGATCAGTAATGTGTAGAATGAAGGAGTACAACATATTGAGAATGTGAAAGCTGATTTTACATGTTTCTTCTTCTTCTAAGGTTGACATCATCCAACTTATTGCCAAAAAAAAAAAATCTATGAATCTCAAATCTTTTTTTGTTTGTTTGTTTTTAGGTCTATAGTTTAACAGTGGGGTTAGTTGCCAGCACTGAAAGCACAGCATTGGTGGTACAGGGTTGGTGTCAGTCAGCGTTTCGGCCACTAGAGGGCGGTAATCGCCACTGTTTTTCCCCTTCCACTGGACGGGGACTTTTTGGCCACATCCTGATTTCTCGCCGTCCTGCGGTTGACTTTCCACTTTCTATAAAAGTTGTAATAACCATAAATCCGATTCTTCGTTAGGAAACACGGATACGCCCTGAGAGCTGCCGGATCTTTTCATTCGTCATTCCATTTTCCCTGCTGCCCTTCCTGCGGCCCTTTCCGTGAAGTTCAGTGACTTTGTAGCAAGTCGGAATCTTTCGCTGCCAAAACAAAAAACATTTAAAAATGCTTCAGCAACCAACTTATTTTTTCCCATCTAGCTTTTTTGTCGTTTGCTGTTCGTTTAGCTTTTTAAAGACTAACATTTCACCACAGAAGAGAAATAAATACCTTGGAATAATATTTTAACCCCTTATGTTATGAGGGATGACAGTTATTGAATGATCAATAATTCTAGACTAAAAGAATAAGAGCATAGATAGACTTAGTTTATTACCTGAAGATGAATATAGATGTAATGTTCTAGATGTAGTTATAGATAAAACACAAAGTACAAATAGAATTTTAGATGTTTATTTATTTTGCGTACTAATGCTACATTTTCCACGCAAATTGCGAAAATCCGAGACAAACCGCATCACAGACACATTTTGACTCTATGCAGACCTTCTTTACATCTCCAGAGAGGAACCTGCAGCGCTGCAAAAACAAATCCATCAAACAGGAATCAGCACGTAAGAGATGACGTAAAGATCGACACCACGTTTTCACCTCGTCACGCTGCGTCGCATCCACAGTGAGGTTTACTTTTCACGTACCTCTGTTCCTGCTCCTTTTTTTTTTCCCGTGGCTCATCCGTTCTCCCTGATTCATATTTCTCTGCTTTGGCGAGATTATTTGCCTCCCAGCCGTGACTTTTTTGAGCTTAGCATGGTGAATCGGATTGGGGACGGGGCTTATGTTTTGGCAGTTCGTTGGAAGTGGAGGGGTGCTTGCCATAAAACCTTCTGTCCTCACCATCTAAGAAGTTACAGCAGGTGAGGATTGTTCTCCAAAGCCCCCTACAGAGCCACAGTGCCTTCTGTATCTGAGTCACATTCATCACCCCCCATGAGCCCCGCCCTCCTGCCCAGTCACAGTTGCTCTCGTCCGTGACCCCTCGCCCCCTCCTTGTGCAGTCGACGTGATCAACCACGCTACGCCTTAAGATCAGATCTCACCGGCTCCCATGCTAGCATTCAAAACGGGGAGTGTGACGATTTTGAGACTGGGCCACGGTCAGGAAGCAAGTCGATGGACTAGGCTAGATGCACATTCAGAATGGGCTGAACTATTTAATATTTCCCATTCAGGCACTCAGTTTTGTAATGGCTACCAAAAAAAAAGAAAACTCACAGTTTCAATCTGAGCCTTGCGGTTTTTGACTTTTGAAGACTCAACGGCCATCGTCTCCAGATCCCGCTAGCTGGCGAGCCCCTTTTGGCTTCGGCATGGCTCCAGTTTATGTCCGTCCCGTAGTTGTCCTGCGTACAGTTTCCTGATGATGTACTTAGAGGTTTACAGAGGTGCGAAGCTGTTTGCTTACTTCTCAGGTCCCTCTAGAGCTAGGTAGCTAGTTAGACCACGTAGGGAAGAAACCGCTACAGAACAGGCAGCTCCCAGTTTGAGTTAATGTATGGTTTTTACTTGGCATGGTATCTTGATGTTGATCTCACCCCTCTCCTTTCACCGCAAGTACATCGTAACACACTTCAAGCTCTTACATTTCCATCTAAAATCTGTAGAAACGACGCCGAAATGACACACCTTTCATTTTGGCTCCACTCGGTCGTTCAGAATTGTAACAGCGGATCCCAAAAGGTGGACACACAACATTGCCCTTGGGTGAAAGCATGTTGTGTGTGTGAACTTTTTCCAAAACACTTATCCCATTAGTTTGGAAAAAGGCAAACATCTAGTTGGTTTTGTCTGTTTTTTTCAGTATCTAGTTGCTTTATGAAACACAGTTTAGGGGGGAATGCAAGGTTTTTTGTTGTTTTTTTCTCAGTCATTGACTGTCTTTATGTCTGCTTTCTGTCACTCTTCACTGTTAATATCTGAGTAATCTTTCTTTTTTCATTTCTCCTTCCCCATGGGATGAAGGGAAATTTAACAAGCGTACCACCCATCTGCTCAGTCGGCTGTGAAATTGTGTCAGTGGGTCATTTGTAAGGTAACGTGTTGACAAAAACACAAAAAGGGCTCTCTTTTAAAAATGAAAAACAAACTACACTACACAGTGGGGATTAATGTACAGTAGTGCTGCCAAAAGTTGTGCTTATGTAGCTAAAGCCACGCTGAGGTCTCCCCTTTGTACAGCACTAAACGTGTGTGCATGCGTGTGTCTGTAAGGAGGCGGGGCATTGGAGCGGGGGGCCAAAACAAGACGAGTGGCTGTTACCGGAGGGGTTGGGGGGAACTGTTTCGGGTGGAGGGTGGCAGAACTTTCAGTGATGTTGATACACAATTTCACAATGGCACCGGACCACTTTTCAAGCTCACGCTCAAGTCGCCATTTTTCCACCATCACCTGATCCTCATCTACACCTACTTTGAGAGGGACGGGGCTACGGCTGTGACAGGGAGACATTTTACTCTGTGACTGTGTGTGTGTGTGTGTGTGTGTGTGTGTGTGTGTGTGTGTGTGTGTGTGTGTGTGTGTGTGTGTGTGTGTGTGTGTGTGTGCGTGCGTGCGTGTGTGTGTGA